TGGGCACCTCTACTTTTTACACTCCCTGACCAGGGTCAGTGTCGAGGGTTTACCTTTCCCACTGGAGAGGACTCAGAGCCCAAGGAAAATCCCAGCAACTCCGGTCAAGGTCTTTCCAGATCCAGAAGGCAAAGTTGAATGATTTCTTAAATCTGGCTGTGTAACTTCTCTTAACACCAGGCCTCGGCAGCCCCACCTGTGCTTGGAGAAGGGCAAAGAATTACAGCCTTGGGGCAGGGCAAGTCTGATCTGACTTGGCTGGTGACAACAGTAGTGAAGCCACAGCATCAGTGTTAAAAAACAAAACCACTTGCAGTCAATTCTGACTCATGGCGACCCCATGTGTGTCAGGGTAGAACTGTGCTTCGTAGGGTTTTCACTGGCTGATCTTGCAGAAGTAGCTTTTTAGGTCTTTCTTCTGAGGCACCTCTGGGAGGACGGAAACCTCCTGCCTTTTGGCTGACAGCCAAGCATGTTAACTGTATGTACCACCCAGGAACTTGGCATCAGTGTTGGCCTTCATTTATTTAGTGCCAGCCGTGCCCTAGGCATTTTTCTTATGTTACTTCACTTACTCCACATCAAAGTCCAGTAAGGACGATGCTATTATTATCTTAATGTCACAGATGAGGAATATGAGGCTCAGAGAAGCTAAGAAACATGCTCAGGGTCACCCAGGTAAGAAGAGAAAACAAGAAGCTGAATCCCAGTGCCTCTGCTCCACCAGGAAGATGGAGTGAAGGAGGTGTTAGAGCAGGGATGGGCAGTAAATTCAGGTGATGGAAGATGGACGGAGTTCCTACTGACAAGGAAGAAGTAGTCAGCCTTTGGGATCTCTGTAAGCCTCTCTTGGTCTAGAGTAAACTTCAAGACTTGAGCTATTTCTTTCTTTAAAAAAAAATCGTGGTGAGTATACACAGCTGAACATACACCCATTCATCAGTTTCCACAAGTAAATTCAATAACATTGGTTACATTCCTCACACTTTGTCACCATTCTAACCATTCTCACTCTCTCTCCCCAGGTTGTTTCACCACCATGGACTTAGACTCACTACTCCCTAAATGTCTCATCCATGCGTTAGAGTTATTGTTGACAATTTGATATCATATCGATCATTCTTTCAAAGAGCGCAATACTTATGGTGAACATTCTTCACTAATTTAGCTAAACAGTTGTTTAGTTTAAAAATGGCTTCCAGGGATAATTTCGATTCATGGATTGAATCTTTTCTCAGAGTGATAGATTCAGGAGTTCCTCCAAGACTGGAGTTATTTTTAACAAAGCTGTAAAGATTGATCTTCACTGTGGAGGGACGTTAATGGGGGGGGAGGGGCAAGATGAGGAAAGGGGCTTATTGAAGTGGGAAGACAAGCTCTGGTAGGGTAGTGATTGGACTACAGCCTGGATGCCATAGTCCCTGGGTTTTAATCCCAGCACTGTCCCTAGCTGTGTCACCTTGGGTAAGACATTCCCTGCCTTTGGACCCCAATTTATTGATCTCTACCATGATGCTGGAGTCCCTGGTGGTCCAAGCAGTTAACATATTAGGCCGCTAACTGAAAAGTTGGTGGCTTGAGGCTTCCTACCAGTGACTTACAAGAAAGGTCTGGTGATCTACTTCTGAAAAAAGCAGCCATTGAAAACATATGGAGTGCAGGTCTACTCTGTGGGGTACACACATGAGGGCTCCTTGAGTCTAAATTAATTCAAAGGCAACTGGCACTGGCTACCTGATTTTTTAGACTCCTTCCAACTGGGAGCCTATGGTTTGGGGTTTGGTTGTTCCAGTGGGGCTCTGAGAAAGGGAGGCAGGAATAGACTTCAAGGAAATCATGGGTGGGAAGTGTTAGGAACATAAAGATACTCAAGAGCTGTCAAACAGGCATCACCTTAAAATGGCTAATATGCAGTGCCCACCTGGGTGCACAGCTCCCTTTCCTCCACGCTCCGTAGAGATTGTACTTCCTGCAACCTTTTCCCTAGTCCTGAGGGTGAGGGCTACTGTACTTGGGAGGAGATGTTAAAAATATTTAACAGGTATAGTAGGAGCCTTGGTGGTATAAATGTGCTGCTAACAGAAAGGTTAGCAATTCAAACTCACTCAGCAGCTTTATGGGAGAAAGACGTGTAGATCTGCTCTTGTAAAGATTACAGTTTAGAAAACCCTATGCGACAGTTCTCTGGTAGCATAGTGGCTAAAGCACTTGACTGCTAACCAGAAGGCTGGCGGTTCAAACCCACCAGCCACTCCTCGGAAGGAAGGATGGAAAATCCTACTTCCGTAGTGATACTGCCTCGGAAACCCAAGGAGGGGTCGCTATGAGTTGGGGCTGACTTGACGGCACATAACAACAACAACAACATGGGACAGTTCTATTCTGTCACATGGGGTTGCTATGAGTTGAAATTGATTTGATGGCACCTAACAATAACAACATGGTATGGGGACCAACCAATCAGAAAATCATGGTTATAAGCTGGTGTATGATTGCCAGCTGTATGCCACTCTTGCACCTACCCCTGATTCCTCCTGGGAAAGGCTGGCTTATGAGCTAATGAACCAAAAGTTAAGAAGGATAAGGAGAGAGACTGAGGAGGGAATAGAATTGGAGGAGATGGAAGCAAGAAGAGGGGTTCATACATCCTCCCAGACATTTGCTTGTCCCTCCCTAGAACCCCATCATGCTTTTAACCCAGCCTCACCAGCTGCAGCTGCAATTCAGAGGCTGATTAAACATAGGAGACCTAGTCTATGTTCTGCACGATCCTGCGAAGCTTGACAATGGTCAGAAGACCTCAGGGAGTCCTCCACTATCTGCCACTTGGCACATTATTAACCCTGACAGATGCAGACCAGGATTTTGTCTCACCCACTCTTGACCAAAGGTCATGAAGTCCCATGGAATGTGCTAAAGCCACCCTTCCTCTCCTCACCTTGGAGCACCAGGATTGCTGCATCTATCTGCCCAGTCTTGGGCTGTCCTCTTGTACTCTGCAATGATTCCTCATTGCTAATCAACCATTAGTAGTCAGAGATTCCAATCAATATTTTTTGACTGATTAATAAGGACCCCTTTTTCCTCCTTTTCCATGAGAACAGTTAGTTTCCCAATTGACCAAGAAATACTTATTGAGTATCTACTAAGTTCAATGTATTTTATTAGCTATAGAAATGGGGAGAGATCAAAGAAACAGAAGACATAGTTGCTGCCCTCAAGGAACCTTCACTATAACTGTGGAGAGCCAATATGTCAACATAGAAAAGATGATCAATAATACAAGGCAACTTTGGATAATGTGTCATATGAGGCTATCCCAGACCTATTAAAAAAGTCTGTCACAAAGTTTATGAAGAAAGATAAAATGAAATTAATTAAAAGTTCTAGAATGACAATTAGAATGGATCATGAACTGACTTAAGAGTCCAGATCTGATTAGACTAAATTATTAGCTAGAATGTTAGAGTTTGGGAAATCACGCAACATTCTTCAAAATTTATCATGGGCTCACTAGGAACAGGTTATACCAAATTACTCTAATTTTCTTTTATAATATGGTTCTAGAGCTTAGTTCAAGGAAATGCCTGAAAATATTTAATTCCTCAAGGCTTTAGGAAAATTATCTTATGATGTCTTTATAGGAAAGAGGGTTAGATAACAGCGTGGTTATGTGGATTCAGAGCTGGTTGGGTATTGAGAAACAGTCCTCCAACATTCCAAGAGGAGGTCACTGTACCATCAGGGTCTGTCTAAGTCTTTTTCTTGACCAACATTTTTAGCAATGATGTGGGTGAAGAGCATGGAAGCCTACTGATCATTCTGTTAATGACTTGAATCTAGGAGAAACAGCCAAGAACCAAGACTTGAAACTATCTTGACCCCAAACTAATCGTATAATATTCAACAAAGATAAAGGTAGAATCCTATGTTTGTGTCCAAAAAAATAAGATAGGTAAATGCAAGATGGGGAGAATCTGATTGGGCAGTTAGGTGTGTGAGCTATGGTCTGTCTACTGCACCCACTCTTGCCTGAAAGCATGTTTAGGAACCAGTGGTTAAGGATACTCAATCCTTTTGGGAAGCCTGTGCACTGATAGCTGAGCTTAATCTGCCTAGGGAATATGTGGTATCAATGACTGGGACCAGTGTCCTGCTCAAATTTGTCAGCATTGAACAAAACTCTTTCAGTGGCAAGCTAAAGACTTAATCACTTCTGTTCCAAAGACTACCTTCCAAAAAAGTTGAATGTTTCTAAGTTCCTGTCTCTGGCCAAAGTTATGTCTTCTGTTTTCAGTTTGAATGGAAAACAGATTTGAACAGATTTCATTTAATACATTGAACACTATTCTAATGATCAGTTTCATTTCCTTGCCCAAGCTTCACTCAGATTACTCCTTGGGAAACCAGTGCCCTGTGTTATTTCCCATTCCCCTGGGCATGCCTGGATACAGTAGACTGGGCAGAAAACTGTACAAGTTTACTCCTCTGGAGTCACCGCTCTGGAAGCCATACTGTATAATTACTCCTGGGTCTCCTCTGCCAGCATACTTCAACCCACCCCTCCCCATTGGATGATGCCCTTAAATCAAGCATCCCAGACTCTGAAAGGGTAAAATGAGAACATGAGCCCTGCTGAAAACTGATCTACCAGAGGACAAGGAAAGGGAATAGGATTCCCATCTGCACAATCATGGGAAGGGTAAGACGGGCTCCAGCTCTGCCTGCCTTGAAGTCTGTTCTGTGACTACAGCCCTCCTCTCTTTTCTGGGAGCAAGGAGGCAGAATCTGAGAGTGTGGCAAGAAACACTGGGAGGGCAATGTGGGAAGAAATGAAAATGCCTCCAGAGAAAGAAGTTGGTGAGAACCAAGAGAGCCTTTGAGAGAAGAGAGAAAGCCTTGGGTATTGGGTTGAGAGCCCTTGCCAGTCTATAGGACAAAGCAGTTATGATAGGTACCATGGCTGACCATTCTGTGCTCTCTGTTTTCCTGCCCAGATCAAGATGAGGACCTAGGGCAGCTGCCTGCTGACCTCTGGCCTGCGGTGACCATGGCCCCCCGCAAGAGGAGCCGCCATGGCCTGGGCTTCCTGTGCTGCTTCGGGAGCAGCGACCTCCCTGAGATCAACCTCCGGGACAACCACCCTCTGCAGTACATGGAATTCTCCAGCCCCATCCCGAACCCAGAGGAGCTTAACGTCCGCTTTGCAGAGCTGGTGGTTAGTGAGGGGGCAGGAAGGAGGATGTTGACAATGGGGAGGAGGGTGGATGGAGCAGGCAAAGCAGGACAGAGGGGAGAAGCCCATGTGCTGAGATCATCTTTACTTCTCAAAGACCTACTTAAGGCTGAAGTGGGTCCCCAGGAAACCTCAGTTGTGTGGGAGAAACAGAATCACTCAATGAGGTGGCAGCCATAAAATGTATCCTAGAACAAATGGGCCAGTCTCCCATTTCCATAGGATGCTAGACCTTATGGTACAGCAATTAATTCACCATAGAATGGGTCAGATCCAAGGCTTTTATGGAACAAGGTACTGAAGAGTCTCCAAGAATGTCAAAACACCTGACACCTTTCTCTCTTATGCAGTCTGGAATGTCCCTGGGGTTCCTTTATCTCAGAGACAGGCAGAGAGACAGAGTGGAATTCTAAAGGCTGACATGGGGTACTTCTGAACAGACTGAGATGCCTGTAGCATACCTGGAACCTGGTTTGGGTCTAGGATGATTGTATCCTGTATCTAGCCAGAGTCAAGTGGAAACTCTGTGGTTCACACTAGTACCAACTCTTTCTGACTCTGCCCATCCAGACCAGTGTGTTGCTACTTTGAGAGAGTTCCCTGTATGTGAAGCTTTATTCTCTGGCCAGAAAGAGACAGAATGGGGCACAAGGCACAATTCCTCTCTCTGGATGTCTAATGATAGAGACAAAGCTGAATACCAGCGAATGTCCTGGGCCAGGAATGCAGGTTCCGTACCCAGGACCCAGGCATGAACACTGGCATAAGTTCATCTCCAAGTTCATCTATGTTCTTTGTTGTTCATCCTCATGCAAGGCAGGCAATAGAGAAGCAGTGCCATGTGGGTTGGAATGTAGTTTCTTTCACTCTTGTATTTGATAATTGATGTATCTGATTAAGAAAATCCCTACTCACTGTCGTTGATTCTGACTCCTAGTGACACTTTAGGACACAGTAGAATTGCCCCATAAGGTTTCCAAGGCTGTAAATCTTTATGGAAACAGACTACCTCATCTTTCTCCCATGGAGTGGCTGATGGGTTTGAACTGCTGACCTTTTGATTAGCAGCCAAATGCTTTAGCCAATATGCAACCAAAGCTCCTTTAAGGTAATCCAGCTCTTCAAATAACAGAGGCATAAGATGAGACCATGCAAGTTAAATGAAAACATTGATAGTTTTTCACTTAGATTACATGTTGAAATGACAATATTTCTGATTAGGCTAAATACAATATACTATTAAAATTAATTTCACCTGTTTCTTTTTACTTTTTTAATGTGACAAGAAAATTTTTGAAATATATGATCTTGTCCTATATTTCTATTGGACAGTTCTGATCTAGGTGAAGTAAAGTGTTAAATGTTTTCTCTTGAGTGAAAAAAGTATAAAAGAGTATAAGTATCAAGATTTAATACCCTTATCTAGCTATGTGCTTATACTTTCTTAGATATTGCTTTCATTGTTTATCATTTTGCAAATATAAAGGTTAGTAATATTATGCTCTGTTGTTCTAATGTGAGTTTTGCTTTTGATAAGAAAAGAGCCCATTATAATTGAGTTGAAAACCCATTCTGTTCTTGATGGCCCATAGCTGTTTATTTGATGAGCCAGAACATTGCTCAGGAACCATGGGAGGAGGAAGCATCAAGAATAGAGCCTTTTAAGAGTCATCTAGCACATCCAGATAAATAAAGTCACTCCAAATTACCTACAGAGTTATTCTAAATTTAATGAATCTTCCCAATTCTTTTCCTTGGAAAGTGTGAGCCAGGCTGTAGAAGTCTGAGCCCTGTAGCTGTGTTTGAGTATAGCCTTGTCTTCTTGGTTGTGATGTACAAGAAGACGGCCTCAAAAATAACTACTTTCATGCGAAACATATCAATGCTTCCTTTGGTATAGCATGCCCTTCCTACTGTGCAGAGCTGCTTGTCCTCACCAGCTCTCCCCAGTCCATGCTGGGACCCACGTAGAACTTGCAGGAGCTAGATAATTGCTGGGAGAGTCTCAAAGGTCAAGAGGATTTGGAAGATGGGGACCAAGGAACTGAGAGCGAGGCAGGACTCAATCCGTAGACTGAATACTTTCTTTCTCAGGCCTTGACTTAGGGTGCTGAGAAGAGAAGGGCAGAACAAGAGAAGGAAGGCAAGAAATGATGAGCAAAAAGATTCCATTGTTATTGAGTCAATTCCGACTCATAATGACCCTCTAGGGCAGAGTAGAACTGCCTCATAGAGTTTCCAAGACTGTAAATCTTTATGGGAGCAGACTGCTTCATCTTTCTCACATGGAGTGGCTGGTGGGTTCAAACCACTAACCTTTTGGTTAGCAGCCAAATGCTCTAACCACTATGTCACCAGAGCTCCTTGGAAAGAAGGTTAGAGGCTAGTAAAGCAATGCAGGAGACAGCAGGGAACAGGGGCTGGAGAGGGAGAAGAATGGATTTGGGGAGACAAGGGGGCTGTGGACAGGAAGGAAAAGAAGTATGGGTAGAAGAAGCACAGGCTTGGATTCAGGTGAAGGGATTGAAACTGTGTTTCTACTAGAAAAGAAACTGTCTTGGCATATTTTTCATGTTGTTTGGGAGGAAGATAGAAGGCTGAGGGCTGGATTTGGGGCAACTATAATTTCCCCTAGAGCTGAACATTCTAATCTCTACCATCTCTGGGTCTCAGGAATTGTTTTGTTCTTATTGTCCTTGCAGGATGAATTGGATCTCACCGATAAAAACCGGGAGGCTGTGTTTGCACTGCCCCCGGAGAAGAAATGGCAGATCTACTGCAGCAAGAAGAAGGTGCCAGCTCTGACCCCCTTCCACTGCCATCTTAGGGTCCACACCATTAGGGCAGTTCTTGCCTCCATACTCACTTATAGATATCGTTATGTGCCAGCAACTGGAAAAATAGCAACAGAAAGAAGGAAAGAGAGAAAGAGGGAGAGAATAAGAGGGAAAAGAAAATAATTTCCTGGTATAATTAATCATGTTTCATGATTCCCCACTTTCCAAAATGATTTCTTATGAAATTCCTTTAAGTTGATTTCTTATACAGCTAAAATAGATGGTTTATCAAAATATGAAGGCATCTCTCACTACCTCTCAAACAAATTGTGTATAATTTCTCTACCAACATTCAAGCCCCTCTACATCCCATATGATACCTCCTCTTTCTGTATCCCCTCTCCTACATACACATCCCAGTCTTAGCTTAACTGATGTCTGTTAGTCTTTAATAGGCTTAGACCACTCCACTCCGCCTCCCTCAAAAGCCTGTCTTAGATGCCCATTCCCCTTAGTCTCTATGGTCTACACTACTCAGTGCTACCATAGAGCATTTATCACTCTGCCTCTGGCACTAGACTGTTCTGTTCAAGGCAGAGACTTTGAGTTTGCACTTAGGGCTCAGGACAATGATTGGCATTTAGTAAGTGCTCATTAAATGCATGTGGAATGAAAAAGTGATGAGCCAGCCAATGCAGGAAAGTATGTGTTTGCTTATGCAGTTGTTTTGTGTGGTGAGATTCCCCTCTCCACCCCTACAACTATGTAGAGGACAAAATTTTTAGCTTTGAGTCATGGCGATTTTAACACATATGTCCATATGAAGTCATAAAGACCAAAACAAGGCAGATGTCCCACTGCTCTTAAATTTGGATTTTATTAAACAAAATAGTGAAACCCAAGTGGATGTGATTGAAGGAGGCAGGGCAAAGGCCAGGGCTGGCAGTGAGGTGGTTCTTTGGGGAGGTTCCTGGAGGAGCTAAGTGTTCATGCACGTTTGGAAGCAGGATTTTGCAGAAAGACGATGAGGAGGTGTGTTCAAAGGGTCTGAGGACAGGAATGACCAGGGCCTGTGTAATGCACAGAAGCAAATTTATTTGACTGGAGGAGAGCTAGATTTTCAAGCAACATTACTGTTTATTAACCTCCTGTCATTCTTGCCCGTACCTGAGGAGAAGTCAAGTCTCCCTTGGGGCCTAAGATCTGAGCTAATGGTCCTGTGATCTAGGCTCACCTAGCCCTCACTCAGGAAAGTTTGCTAATGGAATCAGACCGGTGAGGACTCCTGAGTTTCCAAGCCCAGGGCCTTGGAAATTTCTTTTTCTGTCTTTTTGTTATTATTTATTGAGTACCTATTATGTGTCAGGCATTACACTAAATGCTTTATATTAGTGCTTCTCAAACTATCTGAGAGACTGAAGTTTCAAATTTCCAACTGTCACAGACTGATGCTTTTGTAAAATACGGTAAGAATGATATTACAAGAAAATAAGCTGGAAAGAAATAATAGATGTATAAAATCGAAGCTCAATTTTTACAAGAATCAACAGACATAAAACTATATTTTATTATGGATAATTAAAACAAATATAGCATAAAGAAAAAGAAAATAATTTTTTAAAAAAATTGGCCACCTTGTTCATTAAAAGTGTCTCTACCTGCATAGTTTTTGCCCATGTCATTTGCTGGTCATGAGATTAAATGTTTGCTATTTCAAGGAAGAAATAGAACTTCAAGGAAGAAATAGAGATCCAAAAGTCACTCTGTCTGGGCAAGGCTGGGAAATGAATCCCTCAGCTGACACCAAATGGAGCTCAGGACCTCAGGCCGTGGGCTGTCTTGCCTGTTGGTCCAAACCATCCTTCTTGTTCCAGGAGCAAGAGGACCCCAACAAGCTGGCAACCAGCTGGCCTGACTATTACATTGACCGTATCAACTCCATGGCTGCAGTGAGTAGTCCCTCTCCCCAGCCTGACATCACCCTGCCTATCCTGTCCCCACATTTAAAGGCCGAGAGAAAAGCCCCTTGAGATGTGTCCCCCTACCTTTCCCTGAACTGCATGCCCCACTTATTGCGGCTCACTGTTGTCATTGTCAGGTGCCGTCGAGTCGTCTCTGACACATAGCAACCCCGTGTACAGCAGAACAAAACACTGCCTGGTCCTGTGCCAGCCTCATGAGCCCTGCTATACCTGAGCCCATTGTTGCAGCCCCTGTGTCAGTCCATCTTGTTGAGGGCCTTCCCCTTTTTCGCTGACCCTCCACTTTACCAAGCATGATACCCTTCTCAAGGGAATGGTCCCTTCTTACAACATGACTAAAGTAGGTGAGACAAACTGTGGCCATTCTCACTTCCAAGGAGCATTCCAGCTGCACTTCTTCCCGGGCAGATCACTAGCCTTCTGATTATCTCCAGGATCTTACTGTAATCCCTCCCCACTCTGTGTGACCTCAGACCTCAACCATCTAAACATTTATGAGCCCACTTCTATGTCACACATCCCTGAGAAATAGGCTGGGCCCATAATCATCCCCATTTTAGAGATGAGAAAACTGAGCTCCAGGACCAGAACCTGAGTCTTCTCTGAGTCTGAGTCTCTTCTCACTGGATTAATTTGTTTTAGTAAACTATTCCCTGAAGCCTCACCCATCCTGATACAAGGGTGGCTCCTGGGTCATACCTGGGCCGGGAGTGCAGGACATTAGGAGACAGGTAACCCAGGATAATCTTTGTGCCCACCTTCTCTCTGGCCCTACAGATGCAGAGTCTGTATGCATTTGATGAGGAGGAGACTGAGATGAGGAATCAAGTCGTGGAAGACCTAAAGACAGCTCTCCGGACCCAGCCCATGAGGTGTCCCTGGTTCACCTTCCCTTATTTCCTTCCACATCTCTTCACCCATTCGGTTCCCTCTTGACTTCCTGCTCCTGTCTTGGCCCATCTTCATTCCCCAGCATTCCACATGAATTGACTTCACATCAATCACTTCACTTCCCAGCTCACATCATCCTTTCTGTGTGGGGGGCTGAGAGCCTGCCTAGACTGGGCATGTTTGGGAGAAAGGGAGATTTACATGGGAAAATTGAATAAACGTAAGGTCTGAAGAGTTATCTAAAGGGAAATTGAGGACAAGTGCTTGTTTTTCTTTGGAGGCTAGAATAGGAGAGTGGCCAAATGGAGATGGTGTGTCAATTCAAACCCACCAGCCACTCCTCGGAGGGAAGATTGGGCAATCTACTTCTGTAGAGATACTGCCTCGGAAACCCAAGGAGGGGTCGCTATGAGTCCAATCGACTCAATGGCAGTGAGTTTGATTGTTTGGTTTTCCTGAGAATGAGGGGTAGAGTGAGTGCCTCAGCCAGGAAGGAGGTGGATGAGGATTGGGAAATATTCTCACCACTAGGGGGAGATGGTGTCTGTGGATGTGCCCTCTCCATTTAGAGCCAGAGCAATGCAGTCTGACCCGAGGCAAGGAAAAGGATAAGTATCCTAAAGACTATAAAAGAAGCCCAGAACTTCTCCCCTTCCCAGACCATATAGTGCACCGGGCCAGTGAGGGTCTAAGAGAAACGTGAGTTCTTGGGTTTGAGTCTGTCAAGTGTTGTGCTGCAATTGACTTGAACAAGCTTGCGAGAGCTAACTGTTAAATTGTCAGGAATTTTGCAAGCCAGTTGTTAAACATCGCTATGATTAAAAATTAAATTACATAAACTTACAATTAAATAAACTGTATCAAAAACAACAGTAATAAGTACTCAAACCTTACCACTCCCTAATTCTTTCATTGCATTTGACCATGACTTAAGTGCTGTTGAACTTATTTAGGTCCATTTTATCGGCCTGATGGAAATGCTGTATAGTAGTTTGCTATTCTGCACCTCCTGAACTACCTGCTCTGTGATGACACATTGGGAGCTTAAAACTGGCTCTGTTAGGAGTATTTATACCATAAAATGCTGCAATGGTCTTTTCCCCTTCATTTCTTTTCTACCCACCCAAACTATTGCTGTCAAGTGAATTCCTACTCATAGCAACCCTATAGGACAGAGTCAAACTGCCCCGTAGGGTTTCCAAGGCTGTAAATCTTTATGAAAGCAGACTGCCTTGTCTTTCTCCCATGGGGTGGCTAGTGGGTTTGAACATTTTGCTTAGCAGCCAAATAAATACCTTAATCACTACACCACCATAGCTCCTTCTTTCTTTCTTTTTCTTCTTTCTTTCTATTTGTTTCCTAAGAGAGCTAGTTTTTAAACATTTACCAGCAATCCACTTGTTTGTCCTCTGCACGTGCATGTGCGTGTACGTGCATGTGTGTGTGTGTTCTGGGCTGAGGCTTCTGCCCTAGGAGCCTGAAAACAGAGCCTTAAAGAGAATGGGAACATCCTATGCGTCTTTTTCTTTTTCACTAGTGGTGCAGGTCTGGTATGGGAAGATGGTGCAGGAAAGGGTGAGGAGGTCAGGAAGTGAAGAGACTAAAAGTTGGTGTCCTAATTCCTCCAGCCCCTCTATGTGCAATGAATGGACAGGTCACAGGGTAAATCACTCTGACATATTTGCACAGTGTCCTCTGACCAGAACATTTGTCTGCACACATACACATGCACACAGACATGCTCACGTGTACACACACTCACACACACACTCTTTCTCTTACTCTTTCTGAAGCTTGTCAGGTTCATCCTCCATCTCCAGTTATTTTTCTTTCCCTTAATAAAATTCTGATTACAAAATTTACACAGTTATTGTGAAAATTTTGTGGAATACAAAAAAGCATATAATAGAAAAAAGTTTTAAAAAATCTTTTGTTAACAACTTAACAATTGGGAATTTATTCTTCTATTTTCCTAGACATATTTGTACTATATAGAAATATACTTGTATGTTAAATATAGTATAGTTTCATTTATGACTATTTCTCTGGGTCATTAATTATTCTACCAAAGCAACTATTCTAAACCTTTGTGTGTGTGCATATATATGTGTGTGTGTCTTTTTTATGGACCACTTATCAGAATAATGTTTTTAAATCATAAAATAAAATAGATAGGATTTAAAAATAGACTCATTAAATTATTTTAAATATTACAAATTTGTGAGCTAGCAATAAGTGTGTTTCTTTATGCCTTAAGCAGCAAGAGTTAGCAGTGGATCTGATAACCACAATAATTTTGAAGTACTGGTGAGTATAAACAATATCACAAGATAGCTGCAACAACCATAATTTGATATGAAAAGAGCTGTGAATGCTTTGGGTAATAGAAACACAGGTTCTGCTAATACCACTATTGTTTATTGCCTACATCCGTCATTGAAGAAAATGCTAAATTGCAGTTAGAGGATAGCAAAAATAAAACTGTGTTTTTTTCCCCTGCGTCTTTAAGTTCACAGACCCCTGAATTCTATTCTTTTGGGAGGACACAGACTCCAGGATAAGAACCCATGCACAAAGTGATTTTTAATGTTTTCTGCTGATAGTCAAGATAATTCTCTGCTGCTTACTTTTTTTTTTTTTTAAAAAAAAAGCTTTTATTGTGATTTGGGTGAAAATTTACAGAGCAAATCATTTTTCCATTCAGCAATTTGTATGTATTTTGTTTCATGTCATTGACTGCAATCCCTGGAATGTAACATGGCTCATCCCACTTCCTCCCTATTTTCCTTGTCCATGCCTCCTTCTTTCCTAACCTTTCCTGCCTTCTTAACTTTGTTATTGGGCGAATGCTTCCCTTTTGATCTCGAATGGTTGATTGTTCTAAGGAGTGCGTACCTGCCTGATGTTGTTGTTCACCTTATAGACCTGTCTAAAGACAGGGGAGTAGTTCGGGTCCAGGCCTGAAGGCTGACTAAGGGCTATAGTCTCGAGGGTTCACCAGTAGCTATCAGACCAGTAAGCTTGCTCTTTTTTATGATACTGAGTTTTGTTCCACATTTTTCTCTGATTCTTTCTAATGTGACTTTCTAATGTGGTCTCTTTCATAGCAGTCAGTAGTGATTGCTAGGCACCATCTAGTTCTGGTTTCAGGGTCCTGGAGGCTGAGGTTCTTGTGGTCTGTCAGTCTTTTGGACTAATAATTTCCATGTGTCTTTGATTTTCTTCACTCTTCTCTGTTCCAGACAGAAGAGATCAATAGTTATGCCTTTAATAGCCCTCCACAAGTTTTTAAGACCACAGTTGCTACTCACCAAAGTAGGCCATAGAACATTTTCTGTGTGGACTGTGTTAAGCCAATTGACCGTAGTGTCCCCTGAGACTATGGTCCTGAGCCCTCAGCTGAGGAACTTATTCTCTCAAGGCATTTGGTTACAGCTAAAAAGTTTTCATAACTTTGCCCCCTGTATGCTTAATATATTCATGGATATAATTGCAGCATATGTAACTACATATGTAGAAATATACTGTCAAACCTATATATATCTGGGTATATTCCCATTCTCCTTCCCACATATTTCCAGCTTGTGTTTCTGTGTATCCACTCAGAGATTATTGATATTACTGTTATTGCAGGATTGCATATTTAATAGTATTTACCTTTTTTGCCTTTAACTCTTGGACTCCTCCCAGTGCCTTCCTTTGCTGACAGCCCCTTTATTTTATATTGCCTTCCTCTTCACCTAAGTTAATAAGTGTCTACCCTCTTGTTAGTGATTTACCCTCACTTCCCCTCCCACCCTTGGTAACCATCAAAGAATGTTTCTTATTGTGTGAAAACCTTTTCTTCACTTTTTATAATAGTGGTCTTATACAGTATTTGTCCTTTTTTGATTGATTTCACTCAGCAGAATGTCCTCCAGGTTCATGCATGTTATGAAATGTTTCACAGATTCATCGTTATTCCATTGTCTGCTTGGTTTTGATATGTACCATAGTTTGTCTATCCATTCATCTGTTGATAGGCATTTAGGTTGTTTCCATCTTTTTGCTATCAAAAACAGGGCTGGAATGAACATAAGTATGTGTATATCTATTTGTGTCATGGCTCTTATTTCTGTAGGATATATAGCTAGTAGTGGGATGGCTGGATCATATAGTATTTCTATTTCCAACTTTTTAAGGAAGCCCCATACTGTTTCCCATAGTGGTTGTATCATTTTACAATCCCAGCAACAATGTATGAGGGTTCCAGTCTCTCCACACCCTTGCCAGTATTTTTTTTTATTTTAACTTCACTATTTTTGCTGGGATGAAATGGTATCTTATTGTTGTTTTAATTTGTATTTCTCTAACGGCTAATGGTTGCAGCATTTCTTCATGTGTTTGTTGGCTGCCTGAAAGTCTTCTTTGGTGAAGTGTCTGTTCATGTCCTCTGCCTATTTTTTAATGGAATTGTCTTTTTTGTCATTAAGTGTTGAAGCTTTGTAAAAATTTTAGAGATTATTTCCTTGTCTGATATGTCATTGACAAATTTTTTCCCCCAGTCTGTGAGTTCCCTTTGTACTGTTTTGATGAAATTCTTTGATGTGCATTAGTTTCTAATTTTCAGGAGGTCTCAGTCATCTAGTTTGTCTTCTGCCATTGGAGCATTTTCAGTTATGTTTGATAGTGCACTTACACCATGTATCACAAAACAAAAATAACAAACTCAGTGCCGTGGAGTCGTCTGTCTCCAACGCATAGCAAACACTCCTTGGGTTTCCAAGGCAGTATCTCTAGGGAAATAGATTACCCAATCTTCCTTCCAAGGAGAGGCTGGTGGGTTTGAACTGCCAGCCATCTGGTTAGTGTCAAATGCCTTAGGCACTATACCACCAGAGCTCCTATGCCATGTATTTCTGAGTTATCAGTTCTATTGCATTGGTCTATGTGTCTGTCATTGTGGCAGCACCAAACTGTTTTGACTACTGTGTCTGTGTAG